CATCTCCAAGCACCAGCAGGTCCAGCTGCTCGAGGCCGCCTCGGTCCTCGTCGCCATGAACAAGGAGAGCGACGGCGAGAACAGCGACCGCTCGTCCCCGCCCGCCTCGGGTTCGTCTGACCTGCGTGAGGAGTTGAGCTCCACTGAAACTACCCCGCCCCCGCAACTCGACGACCATGCCGTAGGATCCTACCCTCACTCGCACTTTGGCACCCGCTCCCTCAAGCGCTACTCGGCCAACAGCTCCGCTTACAGCCAATCCTACCAGTCCACCGTCTTCTCCGACAACGGCAATGGCCACCACTATCGCCAGTGGAGCAACGTGTCTGACCGCCCCACTACGTCAGGCACCTCGGTTGCCGGCTCCTACCATGACGATGCCAATGACCATGCTGACCTCGCTGCCGCCGTCGGCCTGCTGAGCTGCTCGTACGGCACCCCCAAGACGGGACCCGTTGCGCTACCGCCGGATGTGCCACCCGTGCCCCCACTACCAGCAAAGTATTTTGACCTGAATGCTCGTACCCTGTCAGGTAGCACCACCGTCACCGCGCAGCAGTCGAGTATGCGCAACAGCTACCGCTACCACAGCGAAAGCAAGGACGTCGACATGGACGACGACCACTTCGCCGACGAAGAGGACTACCGTTACTCCAACTCGCGCAGCCGCGGCCGCATCGACGAGGACGACGACGAGATCTTCGGACGGATGGAGGAGTAGGAGCCTTCTGCGCTCGACACGCCCTTACGACGTCCCGACATCTCTTGCCATGTTTCTTTCCATCGCCTCCATTTCCCACCGTACTTCCGGCCCTGTACCACAAACCAAATACCAGCCATTTAGCAATCTATCTCCGCGAAGGAAAAAGACGCAGCCTGCACACCGAGGAGAGGGCCGTCACAACCCCGACGACGCCCTTGAGGTTAAAGTACAGGTCAATCATCCGAACCTGCCGTCTTTTGCTCACCTTTGCGTCGAGAGCCTAGCACCTGCAACAAATATCCCGGAGTTTTTTTCTCTTTTCCTTGTCTTTTTTTTTCTTGATCAATCTTCATCTCTTCACCAAGAAACTTCAGCCTATTTTGACATAAACCCATATAACTTTACAAATACTTTCAATGACGAGGAGGACGGGAGAGCTATCATGGCTGCGCTGGATAGCGTGGCCTTGGTGCCAGGTGAGGAGAGGCGAGGGGTCTTTCCAATGTGTGTATGGTCCAGCCATCTTCTTGTACATTCGGCTGTGGAGGGAACCTTTTTTTCGAAACGAACCTTGAGGATGAGAGGAATTAAGATTGAAATGCCAAATAAAACATCTCAGTCGAAAGGGAAGAGTGCCCAACGTGCGAGCGTATTTGCTTTGAGTGAGGAAATCGAAGTGCTCCCGACCGAGCAGGACCCCGTTCGTATAAGAAAGCCCAAAGCTGACGAGAGACGAAGAAATTGACAACACAGAGACGGGAAAGAGAGGCGGGGGCAACCGGTCCTTTTTCACAACCCAACCCAACGTTGGGTCGCCGAGATAAAGCGTGCTGAGACGGAGCTGCGAGCTGACTGGAAAAGCGGCCAAGACCGTTGAGGTTGGGGGGGAAATCGTGCTTTACCTTCCTCAGTTGATAGCTTAGTTTGGCACACCATGATCCGGGGCGCCGGGTGAGCGTTAGTACCCAAACACTGGGCTAGCTTCGTTATTTGCTGGAGATCCGACTGGATGGCTGGATGGGATGGTTGCTTCCGGGCTGAGAGGTAAGTAGGAGGGAGAGGCGTTAAGGTTCGTGGTGATGGTTGTTTGTTACGTGGATGGGATATCATCGTGATGTTTGTATGTTGGCTGTCGATAGTCGAATGGTTGGATGGTTGGGTTGAGTGGACGGGTAGGATACCCCGCTATGCTATGCCATGCCATGCTACCCCACGGGATAACAACAACATCACGTCAAGAGCTGATCGTGATCGTGACACCTTGGCATAGAACCAAGGGAAAATAAAGATGACAGCATGTTGACATTGTTCCTCGGACCAGTCCTTATACACATCAAAATTAGCTGACGTACACCTCCAACAACCCACCTCCCCTTCCGTCCCCCGTCCCGCAACACACATCTAATCAGGTGTGGATCGACGACGATCGCAAATCCTACGTTGTAAGCGAGACCCCTCAGCGTTGGATATGCTGAGTGAGGCGGGTCGACAGCATCGCCAACTTCCTGTCTAGGGAACGTGAGTGCGTTTCAAGTTGCGTGGTTGTGGAGATGAGGATCTTCGATCTGTGATGGGGCGCGTGAGGACTTTGTTGGTTGGTGGGGGGACAAGGCTGGGAAGTGGGGTATCGTGTATCGTGATGAGGGAAGGATGCGAGGACGCGTGGTTTGTTGTGGGTTTAGCTTGGTGTTGGTGAGTGGTGTGGGTGGAGGGGTGGGTTTGGTTGGTATCGTGATGTTTGTTTGGCGTGTGAGGTGCGAGGTCCACGGGTTGGTTTGGGAAGGTATGACGACAGATGATCTGCGGCTTTGGGCGGATGGGGAATGGAGGGGTATAATGAAGCATAGAAGATGAATTGTTTATAGAGCGATGCTGCTATGCGTACACGAATGTCAGCATGAGTACTTCCATGTACGATAGTCCGCCTGCCGGTCGTTGTTGTTATTGTCGAATGCCATCCTGTCTTGGTGTATCGCGTTTGTTTATCGATGAGAACGAGTATCGGAAACATCGAAGCTGCAATAGGTTAACATTGAACTTCTTCAAGGAACAACAAGCAGTTGTTGTATATCAGAGCAAGGCTGTAGGAACTGAAACACCTGACGCACATGAAGCAGCATGAGAGGCAGGAAGAGGCCATCCCAGAGCACTAGCAGAGCTATAGCGTAGGTATTCATTGCCCAAGAGTGTGCGTGTAGGTATGTGTGGGGTTTCTCGAGGGAGGGAAGATGTATTGCGGGTGATAGGTGATGGATATCGTCCAGTCGGAATTCGAAACTAATGATATGGTTAGCAGTGTCTGCACAGTCAAAGGTATGTAAGTATCGGACGATGGACGAGTCGAACTATAGAAAGGAGAAGACTATGCTCGATCGACCAAAGCCGAGGGGCAGGAAGACAGCTTACCACGCACAGCTTTGAATGAACAGACGCAAGAGAACAGGCTGGGTATATAGCCGAGGGATGGTTGTGTGAAGGGTTGGAGTGTCACTCAGCTTTGCGGTCGCCATGCGACATCGTGCAGTGTCGCTCCACGTCCATATCATGCAAAGACCTGCGCCTGGCGATTCTCTGGCCATCTCGAAGTTCTTCCTAGTCTCTTTTGTATCGCTTGAAGCTGCGCAGTGGTGGGTTCGTCGGGCGAGGATCGTGGTAGACAGGATTGCATTCCTGCGGCAGTCGTGGGGGCAAAGAGCTTCACTTACGAGGTATGCTGTACGTAGCTTACCAGAAGATGCAGACGTCAACTGGAAAATTTGTTATACCTCAACTCACGCTAGCACGGCCATGTGGCACGAAAATTCGTGAGGAAGGTGGGGGAGTTTGAGATGGGAAGGCGCGGCCGTCTACATGACCCAGCACAACTACAATACCGCTACACTACCACCCTCGTCTTCCCATTGATTGTCGTCGTTGTCCATCTTTGCGGTCGGTGGGTGTATGTATTTGAGAAAATGAAGTGGGGGAAGTGAAGGCGGGTGAGTTGCGGATATAGGTAGGTTGGTGGAATGTGATATAGGGTATGCCAACTCCTAGAGATGCACACAGGTTTTCGATATGTTAAGCTGATCGCGCTGGTTTAGCTACGGTAGACACGTTAGCAGAGTAGTACAGACGTGAAGGAGATACTCACCTCAGCCAGAACAGACGTAAGGATCTCGTAAGGTAGGCGCAGAATATGACACTGCGAGTCGTCTGGTAGTAGTCTCATTGCTACTCGTGTTGATGGCTTGTATTATAGCTTAAATTAGGGTGGCTCGGGTTGAGAGGAAGACTCACGCAAGAGGATGTAAGAGAGAAGTTTGCGCGAGTACAGCCATGGTGCCTTCCGTAAACGCGTCGTCACGCGATGACGCGCGCCTTCGTCTTCGCTGTGCGAGCTTTGCCCGAAGCCTTTTGCGGAAAAGGAAACGACGCTTCCGTTGAAGACTGAACAGGTTTGCCGCCTACATCAATGTAGAAACATGCGAAGTGGGTGATCCAACGTCAACGTAGGCTCCAGATGTGACAGGGAAAGACTGTACGTAGCATCGCAGACAAGTCTCGCTAGACCGAGGCCATGAAGATACCCATAAATACACGATCTTGCATTGAAGATGGTGGGTACTTGTGAAATCTTCAGGTTTGATGGGTCACTGGGCATCGTGCCTTCTGGATTTGATGTATCGATACAAGTCAAGGCACGTAATCCGAGACTCATACGAAGAGTCGAATATAGCAGATGATAAAGGGAACAGGCAGCCGATGACTGAGAGCTAGAGAACTATACCTGTCTTGGCATTCCAAAGATCGACAGATCTCTTGATCTCAGCACGAAGTGAGGTAGCTGAACTGCCCATCTGGACTCCACCTGGCTTCTGGGGTTGTCTGAGCTTGCGCTGTGCCACAAATCGCTGTGTAACCTTCTAGAAGTAAATTGAGGTCCATGCTAAGTTGTCCGTTGCAGCATGTCTCCCATATATCTGGTAGACGTGTTCCTGCAGCATGCGCACGCATGTTGAGTACCCAGCGACAAGCAGCGGGTGTCGTTCGATTTCATCTTAAACATGTGAAATCAGTCTCTGATGAAGTTATATTTAATCCTGGATCGGACTGAGAAACATGCAATCTCTGGCTACAAGACAATGGCTTTGTTGTGGGGATGGAAAAAGATGTGGCTTCGGGCATGGCGTCACTCACGACCCTGCAGATCCGCACGGTTGCATGTTGCGGCTCTCCGGCGCTCGCAACATCGCAACCCAACACATGCCAGACAACTCGATGCCCTCCGACGAGCGCTGACCCACCCTTTGCTCCAATGCACCCGGCCGTCTCCATACTTGCCGATAATGTCGTCAAATACCACCACCTGCTCGCCCCGCTGCTCTACACCGTCCTCGCGGCTGTCGCAAACGTGCACACACCGGTCCAGCATTCGCTGCTCATAACGACGATATCCTGGCTGATAGTATGGGTGCCGACTGTCTTCTGGGTGGGCATATATTCGAATAGCGACAGCGTCAAGAGGAAGACGAGTTGGCTGGCTGGCGCGCTGCTTGGTCTGTCTGTGATGTGCGACCGCGCAGCATGCGATAAGCAGGGCATCTGGGCGACCAAGGTACTTTCGGACGGGACAGAGAATAACGTATGACCTAACGATGTCCTAGGCCCTCATTCCCTTCTTCACCGTCCTCTTCTCCGAGAACCAATTGGTCGCAAAACACCTCGCCCTACCCACCTGGACCGTTCTCGATGGCCTTGCAGCCGAAACCAAGACCTCCCCGGAGCGACAGCCTCATACCGAATCATACGGGATACTAGCAGTTGTCTTTGCTTCTGCGAGCGCTGTTCTAGGCGTCTACGCAGTTCCTACCACGGTCGCGCTCGGTCTCAGCAGTGCCATCTTCACGGCTACTGGCCTCGTCCTGTTTGAGTCCACCATACAAGCTGCGACAGAAGAGGGCGAGGGCGGCAAGCGAGGACTTGCGTCTGCGAACGGGAGTACGTTGCGGCGCGCCTCAGTGAGTGGTGCCTCGAGGCCGCAGCGACTGGCTGCGCTCAGAGATGTCGCAGTGGCCATTGCAGTTGTATGCGGGATTGCGTCTATCCTTACCGAGTCTTCCTTGACTGCAAGCACGATATCCTGGGAACCTGTATACAGAGAGTATGACCGGGAGTGGAGGGATGTGCACAATTTCCGCATCTTGCAGCGCTTCCTGTGGATGTTGCCGGTTCACACCACTGTAAATGTTCTTGTTTTCGTTCTGGTACGTACATTCTTCCAGATTACTGTTGAACTACCTAAATACGCTGTCTTGTTACCAAACGCGGGTCTGGCGTCCTGCCGCGTCGTACCCGTCGCCATGGCTTTCACCCCAGCTTTTGCTTTCAGGTTCCAAGACCAGAGACGTAGCTTTCACTCTCAACGCACTGTCACGATATCAAGCTAATTTGCCCATAGATCTCTCAACATGGCGCTGTAAATACCTCTCTGTTGGCCATATTCTCTCACCTTGCTGCGAAACTACACTTCGCCCCAACCTTTTCCACCATTTTGTTTACCCTCATTTACGACGGGGCGGCACTTGTACACTTTTTTGAGTCGGCCGCATCTCCCATTGTCATGGATTCGCGGCGTTCTATGCGACTGCGTCGCTTTATCTTCATCGTTATGGCTCTTGCGGTGGGGTCTCTACTTTTCGGACGTTTCACTGGACCACGAACGTATCAACATATCACGCATGGTGTTCTTACCGACATACCACTTTCTCCGCCTGGGATACCACTTGCTCCGGTGTCGGTAGATATGACCAAGGGTCATCCGGCTGCGCAATTGATTGACGCAGCCGAGGCAGACTTCCAAGGCACCCTTAACCGACAATCCAAGTCTCTCGCTGATGCGGTTCGAGAGTACCGACGCAGGAACGGGATCTCGCCACCTCCGCACTTCGACAAATGGTACGAGTTTGCGACGCGCAACGGTGTTGTGATGATAGACGAATACGACACGATCAATGAGATGTTGCTACCGTTCTGGGCGCTCAAACCATCAACGATTCGGTCGCGCATTGCGAATGCGTTAGGCCATGAAGATAGCTCAATGCTTGCAATTGCGATACGCCATGGCGCCGTAGAGAACTTTCAAGGCGGCGATGAATGGCAACAACAGGCTACCATTGGCATGATGAAGCAGTTTGTCCAGTATCTGCCCGACATGGATCTGGGCTTCAACTTACATGACGAACCGCGAGTCGTTGTGCCTGACAATCTGTTGTCGTCGATGGTGGCAAAGGCGAGGGACGAAATTCTACCGCGCACTGCGAAGAACACTGCACCTCGCAACGCCTTCTCCGCTCGGCCAGAAGACTTGAGTGATGGTACACGATTTGCTGAAGTTAGCACGACCAAGTTCAATCGCTTTGCGCATCAACAGACATGGACGCATTCGCGGCTGTCATGTTCTCCTGACACTCAGGCCCAAACCTTCGAAGACTACGCTGCCGACAACTTCACCGCGTATGCCGCCAGCGACCTTGGCTTCATCTACAACACGACCGCCTTCTCTGATATCTGCAACTCACCTTCATTCTCGTCAACATTCGGGTTTTTCGAGCGCCCCAACGCCTTCAGTATCATCCATGAGCTGACACCCGTCTTCTCACAGTCGAAGATCTCCAGCTTCCAGGACATCCTATACCCCAGCCCATGGTACTGGATGGGCAAAGTAGGCTACGACGAGACGCACGACACGACCTGGGAAAACAAAACCAACAGTCTCTACTGGCGCGGCTCCACAACAGGAGGTTTCAGCCGCAACGGCGGCTGGCGACGTCAACACCGCCAGCACGTCGTCCAACGCCTCAACGCCCCCGATACCGCCAAAGTCCTCGAGCCCGTCTCCAACCCCACCTCAACCTACGCCGTAACCTCGATCGAGCGCAAAGCCCTCAAAGACCTCATCGACGTCCACTTCTCGCACATCGGCCAATGCGACCCCGGCGACTGCGACGCGCAAAACGAATTCTTCGACGTAACCGAACGCGTCGACGGCCAAGACGCATGGTACTACAAGCACCTCCTCGACATGGATGGCAACGCCTTCTCCGGCCGCTTCTACAGCTTCCTCAAGTCCCGCAGTCTGACCTACAAAATGGCGCTGTTCCGCGAGTGGCATGCAGAGTGGCTACGACCATGGGTGCATTATATCCCCCTCTCCCTCCGCGGCGACGAACATCTCGATCTCGTACGGTGGTTCAGCGGTACACAGGTTTTCGACGATGACGGCGATGGGGTTGTTGAGAGAGTCCAGGCGGATGGGACGAAGAAGGGCGGGAATGGCGCGAGTGAGGGCGAGAAGAAGGCGAGGCTTATTGCGAAGAGGAGTTCGGAGTGGCATGATCGGGTGTTGAGGAATGTGGACTTTGAGGTTTGGTTCTTTAGGTTGCTGTTGGAGTATGGGAGGGTGGTGGATGATAGGAGGGAGGAGATTGGGTTTGCGGGGCCGTAAGGATGGGCGTGAGATGAATTGAGGGAGTGTTTGAAGAGTGTGGAGGGGAAAATGAGGGTTGGATAGATGGAGTTGGAATACATTGCTGTTCTGTTTGACGTATTCTGAGGATTGTACATATAACAATTGATACGTTAAGTTAATGTGTACACAAGACTGTGTGATGTTGTGATTCAGTCGACTCCACTGACTCTCCTACCTCATGCAAGGAAAAACCTTAACGGCCTAGCAGCCTACATTAACGTAGAAACCTGCAAAGTAGGTGGGCTAACGTTGATGTAGGCTCTAGACCTGTTCAGTTTTTCCTTAGGTTAACGTGCTCTGGCTTGCATGTTGAATGACCTTTGATTAACGTCGAAAATGACTAGCACGGTGGTCTAACAGGAAACCCGCGTAACATCCTACTCTCCCATCGACGAACTCCTACTCGATAAGCGCTTCCAACCCGCCGCTCCATTCGTAAAGTATCCACGTATCCGTCTCCAAGTCTTTTTCCAGAACCAAACAATGCTATCGATGATGGAACGGATCTGCGAACGAGGTGAAGTCTACTTCCTCCCCGTTCGGACGCCGTACTCGGAGTAGAAATGGCACGTCGTGTTGTGAACGACGCCGGATGTGTCTTCTTTGAAGACGTTGCAGCCGTATGTTGCGGCGTTGGGTGGAGTGTACACTGTGTTTGGTTAGTCGAAGGGTCATACATACGCAATCTTGTGAGTGAAGAGTAGAATGGAAGGACTTGGTTCTTACAATGTAGCGAAACTGCGTAGTCTGTGGGATGCGGGTTTGAGATACGGTGCACACCGAGCGTGTCAGCCATGTATGTTACTTCGTTCTCAGCGAAAGTAGTCTCCTGGGTCTTCGTCATGGGCCGCTCGTTTTGTGCGTCGTCTTCGGTGGGGGTTGCGAAACGGGTTTCTGTCAGGCTGCCTTTGAGGACTTTCATGATGCAGTGTGCGTTCGCGTGGCTGGTTTGTTGTTAGTTCTAGATCTTGCAACGCTAAGTTGCGCATTCGAGAACGCGAGGTGTATCCAAGATGGATTATCGAAAGGTCGTCTTACCGGCGTGTCTCCTGCTGACACATCGATCAAAGTAGATCGGCGAACGGGGTCGCTTCATCGTGCAGGAGACTGAAGCCATGGGATATTGTTCGCGAGGTAAGGCATACTAATGTCAACTGTCGCAAAATATGAGAACTTACTCGTGAATCGGGCTCTTCTTTCCAGGACCCCATACTAGGATAAGCTGTTTAATTAGCACCACCTTCGTTGACTCGAGAATCGGGGACTGTACCAAGTTACTCTTGCCGTTGCCTTTGTCGACAACATTCCGTGTGTATGGTAATGTCTCAGATGGAAAGTAGTATTTCTTCCACTCCGACTCTTCCGAGGTGTATGCTTTCATCAATTCTTGCAGCTCATTCTCGTCTACGTCATCCGAGTCTATGCCGTTGCTGGGGCCGAGCACCTTGTTGATCTCCTGCACGAGCGAATGGAAGTTATCCTCTTCAGTGTTGCGACCGATCATGGTAACGATATCGATGTTTGAGGACTAAGAAGTATGGCGAGCGTGTCGTTGGTTATGATGCTATTGCAGACGGAGTTCCGACGAAGAGAGTTCGGTGCGCGGGCTCTAAATATACACAGCCTTTGTCGAGGGTAAGAGCGTTGGCTTGCCTGCCTTCAATGCTGCTTGTGCAGGACTGGGCTTGCTTCATTATGTAACAAATCGCGCGTTCTAAGCTTGTGATATGTGGATCCATGGCGGTCAGCAGTTCGCCGACATGTGATGCACCTCATATGCTCAGCCAGAGTGGTGGGTATGGTCACCGATGTGAAGACCCCGAACGCGGCTTCTATCGGGGAACTTTATGAAGGCCTCGAGGAAGCATGCATGGAAGCCGAGATGGAAGGGTGCTGCGCTGAGCGCTAACCTTATCGGGTGGCGGTGAAAGGTACTGCCGGGAAGCCGTGCCCCGCTTCGTCATTGGCGGCGTGCGTCGCATCAAATTTCTGAACAACAACATCGCCTCTCCACGCCTGCCCAGAGCAAGTCAGGATACACAGTAATTCAAGATGGCGACCACAGTAGACAAGGTAAGGATTGAGTGCCGCAGCATATCGTCATTTCACGCGCTAACAGAGTGTGCAGATCAAGGACATCGAGGCCGAAGTAAGCCACGCCCCAATACGCGACCGTAACACGATGACTTACACAAGACGTAGATGGCCAAGACCCAGAAGAACAAGGCGACGTCTTTTCATCTTGGTACGGATACACGACCGAATACTGCATACTGGTATGCTTATACATGAACAGGGCAACTGAAGGCAAAGCTCGCGAAGCTTAAGAGAGAGCTGCTCGAGCCTTCGTCCGGTGGCGGCGGCGGAGGTGTAGGATTCGATGTTGCTAGGACTGGTGTCGCCAGTGTTGGTTTCATTGGTTTCCCCTCCGTGGGCAAGAGTACGCTCATGAGCAAATTGACCGGACAGCACTCCGAAGCCGCTGCATATGAGTTCACAACGGTGGGTTGGATACGCTTGTTACTAGAATCAGTACTGACAACATACAGCTTACTACAGTACCTGGTCAAGTCATGTACAACGGAGCCAAAATCCAGATCCTCGATCTTCCCGGTATTATCCAAGGTGCGAAGGACGGTAAAGGTCGTGGACGACAGGTCATCGCCGTCGCAAAGACCTGCCATTTGATTTTCATCGTTCTGGACGTCAACAAACCCCTCACCGACAAGAGCGTTATCGAGAACGAACTGGAGGGCTTCGGTATTCGAATCAACAAGAGCCCGCCAAACATTGTGCTCAAGAAGAAGGACAAGGGAGGCATCAACATTACCGCGACGGTTCCCCTCACACATATCGACCATGGCGAAATCAAGGCCGTGCTGAACGAGTACCGAATGGCAAACGCCGACGTAGCTATTCGATGCGACGCCACGGTCGATGATTTGATCGATGTTATTGAGGCCAAGGGACGAAGCTATATCCCCGTCATCTACGCTTTGAACAAAATTGATGCCATCAGTATCGAAGAGCTCGATTTGCTCTACCGCATTCCGAACGCTTGTCCCATCAGTTCCGAGCACGGGTGGAACATTGATGAGCTCCTCGAGCAGATGTGGGAGAAGCTCAATCTCGTTCGTGTTTACACCAAGCCCAAGGGCAAGATGCCGGATTACTCGGCGCCAGTGGTATTGCGATCAACAGCCTGTACCATTGAAGACTTCGTAAGTCTCCCCCTCATCTTAATCGCGACGCGCTAACCGCTCTGTAGTGTAATTCCATCCACAAGACAATTGTCGACAACTTCAAGCACGCTATTGTTTACGGGAAATCATGCAAGCATCAGCCCCAGCGTGTGGGACTTTCTCACGAGCTTGCCGACGAGGATATCGGTATGTATCCCAGTATTATCTCTCTAAATGGATATCGTGAGCTGACGACCCGACCAGTCACTATTGTCAAGCGCTAGATAAGGTCTCGTGATTACGAGATACGACAGGCGTTATGGATCCGGTCTTGGGAAATAGTGAGTAGAGCAGAAGGGCCTTCTGGATGGCTGAACATGTCTCACTGCGATACCAATACTAGGTCGCAGCATGAAGATGACGAAGAGAGCGAGGCTTGGAGCCGATCTCGCGGCCTGGATTGGCCGAGGGCTCGTTCCAGTAGCACCGCGGACGACATCAGGACGACACTAGCACTGGGCAACGCAGCTTACGGCGCGGATCGTACCTGCCAATCGCCAATGCTCGACTGACTGGTGGCGGTCCGATACCGTCCGCAAGCTATCAATACCAGGCCTTTGCTTCCCCTGCCGAGGAGGCGTCATTCAAGACATTGCCGTCGCGGACCCTCGTGGAAATGGCGCCGCTGGAGTTATTGGAACGGGGTCAGCATGTCGCATTTGTTTTTATTCCATATTTGCTTCGGAATTTGATGGATTCAGATCAGCATTGTCTGGCCCAATTTTTGAGGCGTCGGTTTTCCTTATTGGTCTGCTAACGGGCGCAGCGGTCGACTCGGAGAAATCAGCAGGGGTTAGTTGTGCTGGCGACTCAGAGGGCACGCTGTCAGTCGGGCGCTAAATCATTATCGCTCCCGAAAGCCTGAGTGGCTGGTCGGCAAAACCTCGATTTTCCATGGGCGCGATTATTGCAGCTTTCCGAAAGCGTTTCAGCCGTCGACACTTTCTGTCTCTCCTTTATGCACAGCCGATGATTGACGTCTTGCCCCTGCCGTGGGAATCGCCACAGGCTCGCGTACCTGAGCAGCATTGAATCGGCTGCCACTGTTTCGCGCCACGAGCGTACGGCAACGGCCAGGATGTATTTCGCTGGGCGCACGAGGCGAAGCCAATATGGCGCTTCCACTCAGACCATGTCTTGTTCGGGAAGCGTCAGATTAGCCGGCTGCGACGTGCTCAGCGGTGCGAGGGCCCTGATGGGATGATCCCACCCGGCTGCCTTGACATCCCATTTGCCCTTGCTAGGAGTCAGGCGTCGAGGCATGCACTGGCGAGCTAGCCTGGCGGCCGCATAATTCTGGCCCGCGCTGTCCTAGGGGCGCATCCCCGATGAGAGACCCGCACACGCTAAGCCCAACGTCGTTGCTCGTCGCTTGGCCGAATGGCGACCAGGATCACTGTGCACACGCCAGGCTTGCCGGCAAGCTTGGGCTCGAAACAAACAGGGCTCCTCTCCCGCCAGCTGCAGTAGGCCGCGCCCGCATCGCACAGCCAGGGCCTGTTACCAGTGTCCCCAGACTTATCCTCAAGTACGCGCTGCAGGCCCGCCGCGCCAGGCTTTCCCTGCAGTTTCAATTCTCCATCTAAGGCCATTGCTTTGCCGCGCTGCTTTATACCTATATGTTTTGACCTCTGTCATACCCAGCGCCTTTTGTCAGCGCTACCCCCGCTACTGCGGTACATTGACTTGTCGCTGTTTCGCCTCAGGAACCAAAATCTCGTCTCATGCATGTATGCGCTCGGCCGCTCTGAGGTCACCCACGCCGCCTAGGTATAGCAACACCACGGTGCAGGTGCATATGCCCGTCTGGCACCCTACTTCTGCTCCGCACCCAACACGGACACTCGTTCCCACACTCGCACGGATACACCACTCCAATACCTACTGCCTTCGACATGAGCCAGTTGCAAATGGATCACGACCACCACCATCACCACCACCAGGAACCTTTCGAGGATCACCATTCTGGATGGCATGGCGATAATGGATACAACCCACACCATCAGTCTCCAGTCCAAGACTTTAATGGCTTCAACGGCTTTGCACCGCTCCCGATGGAGCCCATCTACGGGAACGGCATGCATCCACCCCACCAAACTCATCCGACACCGAGGACTACGCATCCACAGCTGCAGCCTCTGATCATGCCGCAGATGCCGCAATGGCCGAGCATGCTGACCAGCCAGTCGACTTACCAAGCTTCACTGTTCCCCTCAGCCCCACCACCGATAACGCCGGCATCAGCAACGCCAGTCTCAGCGAGCTCAACACATTCCCGCACTTCGTCGACACCACGGAAGACTCTCACAGACTCGGACCGCAGACGCATGTGCCAATACCATGAAGAGAATCCCACTGTCAAGCAAACGGAAATTGGAGGTATGCCAGCACCACGCACCAGACTCACATGGATCATTTACTAACGCTATCCTAGCAATGTTCGGCGTAGAGCGAAGGTACCACTGCATACCCTGCATGTCTCTTCCCGTGCTGACAGTCTTGTAGTACCGTTTCGAAAGTGTTGCGCCAGAAGGAGAAGTACTTGTACCAGGACGATGGTAGCCGATCACCCATAAAAAGGTCGAAAGGCAAATTCCCGGACATCGAACGTGCCTTGTCGAATTGGGCACGAAACCATCAGAAACAGGGAGCACAGCTGTCAGATGCTCAGATCCGAGAGAAGGCCCGCTTCTTCGCTCAGACCGTCGGCAACTCAGAGAGCCACCTCAAGGTAAACAGTGCGAGCTGGTTGGAAAAGTTCAAGCAAAAGAATCATCTCAGTGGTGCAAGGTCACGAAAGACTTCGATAGCAGAAGAGTCGGAGGGGACTTCGAATCCGCCATCCAATGTGCATACCCCGGGGGCCATCTCGCCTACCTCGCCTGGCGGGGTATCTCCAGCGACAACGACCATGACAGCGAAGAAGAGTCAGGAAAATCTCAAGACAGAAAGCCCCGACACATACGACTTTTCGAACCATCGCCGACCCTTCCATTCACAGAGCAGTACATCTTTGTCAAGCGTCTTCACGGATACAGCCACAAGCCCCACATCGCTTTCCTCGCCTTTCTTCACGCCTGATTCCGCATGCGGCCCGAGTCCATTCATGGGAAGCCGCCAGCCTGCGAATGGACAGCCAGGGAACAACAACTTCCAAAGGCCCCGAAGCCAAACCTTCCCCATGCTTGTTGGTGTTGAGCAGTACATGTCACCTCCGGGCTCATCTGACGATATCACCCCAAAGTACGTCAGCAGCGGTGCA